ATGCACGTCCATGGTTGCACGACTGCATCGTGATTTTATGTGAGGACAATCAGACAAATGTGTGTCCAAATCCTGAGCATGTGTGATCAACACTCCTCAGTAGACTAGACAGCTAGAATAGAAAGTGGCAACCATCAATGTCATATACAACTTTTTAAAACTGAAACAACTTGACTTGAAGGAGATAATATATTTGAAACAGGATTCTCACGTTTTTGAACCAAAAAAAAGAAATGCCAAGTGAAAATTCAACAGACCTTGTTGCAAATATTTTTAAAAAGCGCTTTAACCTTATTGTAATAGAAAATGCACAAAGTCACTGCCATATACTGGTTGAATTCACCTACCGACGACAGCGATACGCGGTTATAGCCATCAGAAACAGCGTTGAAAGGCACCCCACTGTATATGTTATGGACGACTTACCTGGGAAGATTTCCTTTAAAAGAAAAAGCTTCTGCCAGTGCGGGCCCCGCTTTTGAGGATGGAATGAAGCCAGGAAACTTAAAGCTAGGAGACTTGGGAGTGCTGTACGTGAAGCAGTTTTCCGCTGGATTAAAGGCCAACACAGCAATGTAACTAAACGTACAACTATAAAGGGATCCGAAATTTACTATTAACCATAATATTGACAGGACCGGTGGTGATTATTTTCAACTTTAAGGGGCCTTTCTGGGCCTTGCGGACATTCAGTGATTAAGTAGTCCAAACGGAACGGGTTTTAATACAAAAAATAAGGTTTGCTTTAAAACGAGTTTAAAAAAAATAGTTAAACAACCGTCTGATAAAAATAAGAACTAAATCTTCAATACAACCACATAAAGGAAGGGTCAATCACCAGAGCACGAGCAGACGCACATCTCCTTAATTTAGAAAGAATCTAACTATAAAAATTCGAATAAAACGCAGTTAATTAACACTAACAGGAATGTTGTCACTTTCTTTGATAAAATACTGCGAGAAATAAACGAATTCGACACCAATCTTTATAAAGCAACCATCTACTTTAATATTAGTAGTGGAAGCAGACAGGGCGACCTTATTTTCTCGTCTTTATTTATATTATCCCTGGTGATACTCCCACTTATTTCCACTGAATCAAACGGCTCTATCCATGGAATCGGTATCAAAGGTTGTAAAAAAATGTGACTTTCTTATCAGCTGATGACGCTTGTTACTTATAAACAGTTTTGATAAATACACTCGTCTCGCCGTAAATTATGACTAAACGGGAGCAACGTGATTGAGGAGGTAGAAGAATCATGAAGATATCTCGTTAAGGGTCAAATGGCCATAACCAATCAAAATTGTTGATTTTTCTCGTACAACAATAATAAAGTATGTGACTCTAATCTTTCGGGATTATTAGACTCGGTCAAGTCCACACTGAAATTTTGGTCATCTCGAAGACTCGATATAATCGGTATAGTAACAATTTTAAAATCATTATTAATTCCAAACTCTACAATTATGTTTAATTTATCAATATCGAACCAATACACATCGAGAAAATTAACCGTTTAATTGATAATTTAGATTTGGAAACGACTTAGCTATGTTGGCCTAAGTGGGTTATATATATCGCCGGCTTAAGTAAGTCATGTCTGGTAGGGGGCCAAATCCCAAATTTAAGCCGGCTTAGCTGCAGTATGAACAAGCGCCAGATCACATAATTATCACTATCGTTGACTAAATATGCAAATCAGGTGATTCGACCTAACAAGTGAGTGTGCAAGATGGAACCTATCATTGCAAAGACTCAATGAAGTGCATATGGGACGCGACGTTTACATTCCAAGCAAAGGACTACTTTTCCTGGCTGACCAGTCGTCACGGAAAAGGGGTTAAACTCTCCATACAAACAATTGAAATCAATACACCGCCCAGGACGGTACAGTAGTTAGTGCCAGGGAGATTGTGTGGGTTCAATTGTCCGAGACGACTGTTTATTCAGCAGTATAAATCAGAGAACGTTTGCTTTGTCCTCCAAACCATGGTAATAAATTTGGAAGACTGGTTAGCATGTGCACATGTAATTAGCATAATTACTGCCAATATAATTAAACAAAATATAAACATTTCAAAAGGGGCACAATCTGTATGTCGCAGACAATACACAAACAGATATAATGTAACTAGGGCATCGAAAATGTATTTTTTCACTCGTCAATTTTACAAGCCACAGAAACAAAAAATAAGTACAATTGCATAAATATTCACTAACACTGTGTTTCTAAAAAAACACATACACAAGTTAGGGAGGCCCGTGAATCAGCTTTTGCTTCTCAAAATGTAAGGAATTGGCAAACCAACAGAAATTATATCAATAATTATGATATATGCAATCCATTACCACTCACACTTTTCATAAAACAAAGCTTCACAAAATCACTGGCCATCGTAGTACAGCGAAACCGATCTCGCCGAATTCTGAATCAAAGAGAACACATGATAACGTCGCCCACCTACTAATTGGACTAACCTGGTAAAATTATTACAGATAAAATTCAATACCCCCACCCCCACTACCACCAACACCACCAATTCGTCCACGTTTCGCAAAACACAGACAAAATCCTATCGCAGGTTGCATCCACATACACACGTCGTCATTTCTACAGCTGGCTATACTAGGATAGGTGTATACTTTGCAGAACAATATACACTCGCAAATTATTCTGTCATTAACAAAAATCCAATCACATTTTAATTTTGGTTATACAGCTGTTTTACACGATTCTTGATTTTACCAAAATAAGTAGAAGCGCAAACTATATCACAGGGAGTGAAGATAACTTAAGTGACATTTTGCCAAAAAATTGGCTTTTCCTTTCTACCTCTCCTCAAAACTTATCACGGAGTTTCTTGGTCATATGTGATCAAGGATCGCTATCAACGGTTTATTTGGTGTTTACGTTGTCGGATGTAAATCTGTAACGTAAAAACTAAATAAACTGTTGATAACGACCCCTGATTAAATACGAGCTAGGGACTCTGTGATAAGAGTTGGGATAGAATAGATAGAAAAGACATTTTTTATCAAAATTTCACTCTAATCATAGTAATAGAGGTCATCTACGTTGTGTGACCAACAATTAAAACTTGCATAAAGTAATATACATATTCAATCACTCTATTCTTTGAAGAAAAACGAACAAATCCCATTGTTGAATATTCATACTGGCTATAGTATAACGTGAATAGTAACTGCTATTCCTCCGTACATCATCCCCAGTTTACCAGTGTCTAATCATTTGATTAGATTTCATAACAGTCCACGTCAGAGCTCAATAAAATCTGTAAGAGCAAGTGACAGACTATAAACGTACAATATTACATATTCCGTTAAAACAAACTACCCTGTTTTATACAAACATACCACAGTTATGTATGATTCTCTTCTGGGACTATGGTTGAACCCATATATACGCCACCATTTTGTTTTGAAAAAAAAACGTGTATACACGTTGTTTGCAACACATGTTGCAGCACATTCGTTGTAACCAATGAAGTAAATAAATAAATAAATAATTAATATGATAACCAAACATTCCAGCTTGAAGTTCTTGAAATAAAGAGAGGAATTCAAATATTCAAAGTTGGTAACACCACTGCGAGATCTACATGACTGATAGCACCGTTCTCAATACTGCCAAGTAGATTTATTTCAAGTTAATGTGCTCACTCGACGAAAACAAGGACGAACAGGGTAAGATTCTCACCCAGGGTAAGAATCGACACATTCCTGAAGTTGAATCCTAGTTAGAATTAGGAAGTCGGCGCCATCCGAGCATGCGTTCAACGCAACAACCACTTCTACGATATTAGCGATTCATATAGGAAAAGATATTCATATTACCAAAATTATATCGTCGTTATCGCTCGTTGGCGTTGACGTCCGTCGGGTTTCACACTTTCAGATTCTAAACTGTTACATTTGTTGTTGACAATTTCTCTCTCGATGTTTTTTATCATATTGCTTTAATAATTGATATATAGATAGCAGATACTGCCATTCTTTCACTGACGTGTCTGTGTTGTTTGTGTCTCTTGTACAGCGTTTCATTCCATGGACTTGTACTTTCTCCCGTTAGACATATAATTTGGATTTTTGATTGGTATGATTGTGATTGAAAACGGGTACTGTTTAGAACAAAGAAAAAGTACTTTCCCAGCATTATATTACAATGAACAAACAAACAACTAATTCACTGCCATGTCAGCTAGCTACACACGAGGAACTCCGCCCAAACCCCCAATGACTTACTGAACCATCCAAAAGCGTTCTGTAAATATGATGTGGTGGAGAACTTGTTCACACATACTCTACATTGAAAATTATTTGCATTATTGCGTCAATAATAGACAAGATAGTAAATATAAAATAAAGCTGAGCATCATGGGTATTCTCTGGTTAACTGTACACAAATTCCAAAATGACTGAGCCAATTTAAATTCGCCTTCCATCGACCATTCAATATAAACTTATAGAATTTTAGACACACATAATAATACATACCTTCATACACATTTCCGATTAACTATTTCAATGCATAATGTTATAGTTTGGGTGTATTTGAAGATTAGATTTTAGTTTTCTGTCACTATTAAAATGGGTATTTATGTTTGAGCTTAACCCCTATGCCAAAGGACAGGCAGAGTAACACAGAATATCAAATTTTCCAGTTTTTGAGTAACTCGTTGTTTTATGTTTTTCAGCTGTTATATATCCATGTACATATCAATTTGAACGTATACAATTTTGTGTTCTTTGGTGGAAAGTCAATTGATGATCATTTTGGGGGGTTGTGCACTGATCGAACGTTCAGTAAAGAGTGACTTGTTTGTTCATGGTATTATAATGATGGATATTGCAAATTTATTTGTATCTTGACGAGTGATGAGGTTACATCACGCCACCATTTGTCGCTTTCCACGTGAACTGGGTTCAGATCTTTGGTGAAACACTCAAGGGCGTAATGTTGGCCATTATTATTGTCCTATATAGTGCGACCATCGGTTTCACAGTAAATCGCGAATTCTAGACGAGAACCAATTCCAAAATCCATGGACATCACAAGCTCAAAGATAAACTGTACAGTGGCAGGTGTTCTGGTTACTTTTCCAACATTGTTGCCTTTGTCGGAAGCGGAGTTGGATATTCCGGAACTTTCTGATTGTTTATCGAGTGTATTTTCTCTAGATTGCACATCAACATCTTGGAAAGTTTGCCAATTATTTCGCGTGTATCGAATCTTGACTGTTTTGTCGATTCCATTATCAGCTACCCTAACGGTTACACGAGCTCCTTCCTTGGTGCATTCCACGTTTTCAAGGTATAACCACTGTTCTTCCACTCGTTGCTCAAATTCATTTTCTTCATCCACTTCAGGCAACGCGAACGTAGCAGACAGATTGTTGCGAGGGGGAGTCGCCTACTGTCTGGTACGATACCCAAGGTCTCGTAGACAGCATTATTTGAACGGAACTCGCTGTTAAATATATCGTCAATTAAAGAGGCCTCAAATTCATCAACGAACTCGGCGTCCATTGCTGTATGCTTCTCGACGGATAGCTAGGCGTGTGTCACATGGCTGAGTGGTGAGCACAACGTGTGAATGTAAATATAGATGGAGACGTTGTTCTAGTTTCTTAACCCTATTTGGAGTTCATGGCTCGGGTAATGTGCGGCCAGACAAGCAACACTATGCAACATACAACACTAAAATACTGTAAAATACTTCATTTTCACTTGGAATTTATTTTCGCTGAAGGAATGATTCAGTAAAAAATAAAATGGAACGAACATAGCTTTTTCTCTTATATTTGATATTCAACTCGCCAAAAAAAAAAATTCTATACAAAACACCCAAAATGCCTTTTCAGCGAAAATTAATTCCAGCTAAAATAAAGTATTTTACAGTAGATAATTAGGCTAGTGAAAAAATGGTGCACGTGCGGATGAGTGTGTAGTATTGGGGCGAGTTCGATTACCTCAAACCAGTGTCTGTTCTTAAACCAGGCGGCCAGTGAACCTTACCTGATTTTTTATTTAAAAGAAGAGAGTCAGGAAATCGCTGAACTATGAACGACCTTTAATAAAACTGTTACACTCATTCATATCAGTGACTACATGGGGTGACAGGGTGATGGAGTGGTAGTACAATGGCGGCAATGTTCTGGTTGCCACAGGAATTATCTATGAAATATAGTGAACGAATCTGACCGCTAGTCGGAAGATTCAGGCGCATCAATTATCAGCTTGATATTCGTTTTGAAAATTTGAAAAAAAGGAAATATATTTATTTCCCAGGACAAAACGTGACAAGTGTTTCGACTACAGTCAATATCCTAGTGCTATTTATCCGATCCTTAAATTAATATAATATATTATTTATTACCAACCGGTGTGTGAATGAGTTTGGCAGGTTCTTTTTGTCTTTATTCTTAGTTAGGTTGTCAGAAAACAGAAAATGCTTGCAAATTGCTCATCTCCTACCTACCCAAGTTCAAGATTAGCAGAAACATTTTCCTTGACCAGTCCTCCTGATATTCTGGATATTGAAGTATTTATGGAGCTTCTTAGAGATGTTTTACTGTTTGTTGACACGGAAGGGACTCCTTTCCAAGTGTGTGTCACTCATTGGAGGAAATTCACTGTCTACCTGTGACAAGGAGGAATATAAAGGTTGTCTTTTATGATGTGGTAATACCCGTATTGCAATCCCGGGGGTACTTACATTGAAGTGCTATATGTATACGTATGTGCCCCAACAGGGGTCCAAATTCACCATTTTCTGTCTGAAAAGGGGTGTGTTATTTTATAAATATTTTATATTTGGTATCCTTTTTCATTATTTCTGTCTAAAAATGGGTCCATATTTTCCAAAGACTGTCTCTAGAGCTTGAGTGATCCAACAATTTTTTTCTTTCTGTAACTTTATTTCGGTCGACAAAGTCCATCTCCGGGAGTCCACCTGTTTTTTCCTTGGTACCATTTATGCTAACTGTCTGGAAAGGGGTGTCAAATATCCACAGTTTGTCTGATAAGGGGTAGGGGTTTCAAACAACCAGCTATTCACCCCTGTCAAGAGTTTTTGCAAGTACTATACTTCCCCCGGGATTGCAATCCCGTTGTTTTTATGCGATGTAAATTGTATATTATCACTGAGGCGTTGAGCCCAGATGCTGTCCAACTTGTGTGGTAGAACGAGAAGTTGTATGGTTTACTGAGCTGAGAACATAGAAGTGATCTCTCGTTTTCTATATTATAGTATTGGCACATCAAACTTCTCTCGCTCTCGGAAATGACGGCGTGTAGCACGGTTACTTCAAAATTGTTCTAGTAACCGTGCGTGTATAGTGTGTTTAGGTTGTTTGCCAACCCCCCCCCCCCCAAAAAAAAAAACGGCGTATTTTTTCACCCAGTGTTCCACGATTTTGTTATCGCAAAGTTGCAGGTTGTTTGTGGCATACTTCGTCAGCAAATTGACAAACATTTATTTCGACCATGTTTTAACAAAGTAAAAAACTGTAAACTCTGAAGGAAAATCTCTGGAACTCTACTCCACTGATCATTCAAGAGTCGAACTGTTGCACAATTTGCCACTCCCTGTTCTCATTGCAACAAGCTCATTTTTTTCAGCTTGTAAAGCTTGTAATTGCATGGTTTTGGTGATCGGTGAGGCTTTTTATCTTGAAAAACTGCGTTATCTGTTCTGCTTTGGTCTCCATTAAAAAAATCGCTCTACTGTATTTTTATACAAGATAGCTGATTGGCTGTTAATTTGTGTCGCATCTCCCCTCTTTGTCGTTAAGGGCGCCTATTAAATACACGCTGTAGTGGTTCAATCTGCCAAGGGTTAGTTTGAAGGGGTGACCCAAAACAAACGTAACTTGGTTAGCGAAGATGTGAAAAGCGTACTCTGGAAACACGCAGCCATGTTTTTTTCATATATTAAATATGTATCAATAATGTAGTAAGAGAATACGTATACTAAATCAACTCATTTAAACTATCACAAAAAATGCAAGTGGCAAAAAACAATGTATTATAATTTCAAGCACTCACGAAACCAAGCTGTACTCAAAAACAAAAGCAAAAACAAAAGTTTATCGAATTAGTCGTAGAGAATGCTATGTCCAGGAAGAGCGAATGTATATTCCAACAGCTTTCAAATAAAATAAAATGTGTATCTCTTTTTTTTCAAATGTCAAATATGGCCAGATCGTTTCCTAGGTTACGTTACCCCGTGCAGTCCTCTTTTGTTGATATGAACTAGAGTAACCTGGACTTAACAATTTCTTTAAAGGTCGTTTATAGTTCAGCGACTTCCTGACTTTTTTTAAAATAAAAAGTCAGGTACGTTTCACTAGCCGCCTGGTTTAAGTAACAGACACGGCTTTGCGGTAATCGAACTCGCTCCAATACTACACACTCAGATACATGCACGAAATGAACCATTTTTACACTAGCTTAATTATCTAGTTTAGTGTTGTATGTTGCATAGTGTTGCTTGTCTCGCGACACATTACCCGAGTCATGAACCCGAGCAACGCCCACCTGTATTTACATGGACACATTGTGCTCACCACTCGTCGATTCGACACACACATACATCACCTATCAGCGATGCAATCAAATAATGTTATCTACGGGACCTTAGGTATCGTGCCAGACAGTAGGCGACTACCACCCAACAAAAATCTGTCTGTTACATTCGAGTTGCCTGGAGAGGGTGATAAGAATGAATTTGAACAACGGGTGCCAGAATAAGCCTGTGGGCTTAGTCTTTTCCATGAAACGAAACGAAACCCTAACCCTAACTCGCATTTTTTTCCATTGGCCTAATAATATCTGAGAAAATTTCATACTGTGAACAACAAAATTTATAGCGCCATCAGTGTTCAACAATTCCAAAATTGCTGTCATGTCATGAATCAAGCTGCAAAGTAGGCGAAAAAGAGGTGGAAACTAAATATTCTCGACAAATTTATTTCTGTGACGTGGCGATGTTTGAAGTCGTTCAAAATTTAAGGTTAGAGTTAGGGTTTCGTTTCGTGCAAAAGACTAATCCAAGCCTATGCTATGAAGGAGCTAATAATGGAAAAGACAAAACAATCGACACATGTGGCAAACTAAAGATGTTGATGCACAATCAACAAGAAATATCCATCTCCGCCTCAGACAAAATCGACGATGATGGCACAGACTCCAAAGCACCAACCACTGCAAAGTTTATTCTTGAGCTTGCGGTGTCCAGGGATTGTGCGAAACAGATGGTCGCACTAAATGGTACAATAACAATGGTCAAAACTACGCCCTTGAGCGTTTCACCACAGATCTGGCCCTTGGACCTGGAAAGCGACGAATGGTGGCATCACTTCACGTGGCATCATCACGTGTCTAGGTACAATCACACCAGGAAAACAACTCACAGGAAACGTAATCAACATGTGTTATCGTCGGTTCGAACCACTCATGTATCATTTTCCAATATAATTATAATGCTATGCATCAAATCGAGTTTCCTTTCTCTGATGAAAGTTGATGCCAGTAACCAGTACCTCTGATTATTTATGAACATTTGTGCATACAAGCCTTTCACTCAAATTCAAATGTGTAAATGCATGTGATTGGCTTAAAATGACTCAATCATTATACACATACTCCATATGCCATCAATTATCGATGGGTGTAGCGTATTTGCTGATTAAATGATGTTGATCTAAACAATATTCACAAACCATTGCTGAATTAATCAATTGTAATTCCAAAATCCATCTTGAATTTACAAAATGATACGCTTATAAAACTTTTATAAATCAAAATGACAAAATGACCCATATCAATAAGGAAGTTCAACATCAACCAATCAACAAGCTCTTCATTTTTAGTGCGCAGTCGCAGTCGCCATGTCATTAAAGGTTTGAGCGCACATTAAGCTACAGCTACTAAGCTGCATAAGCGAGCGCCTTATCCAATTCTTCACTCTTCAAACTACTACAATATTCTAAAATCGTCAAATACGCTCACTGGTTTTGTGATTGAGCAGACGGTGATTTGAAACTTGTTTAATGATAAATACAATATGAGTTTTTTGTGTCGGTTCAGCCCACACAATGGCCTCAAGATTTAATAATACCCAGTCTCAGTTTTATAAGTAACCCAATGCGGTCTCTTGTATTACTGCAGCGAGACTAGGTCAGAGATTATTAATAGCCAGCTTAATAATATGTACAAAAGTGTTCTATTGAAAAATAGTGCGATAAATCAGGTCAGTTCCCCGGGATTAACTATATTACTGCAGTTATACACTAATAATGGGTAAATTTTGGAATTTCAGAAGTTTTGCTGGTAATACTATTTATTAACTCCTATTACATGTATGTAGAATATATTAGGCAACCATCTACCACAAAGAGTATTGAAAACTTTGCATTTCAGTAATTAAATGGAATTTTGTGACAAATGGTTACTTCAAAAGCTAGAGCTAAAGTTATATCCACAATGCATCAGTAATGAACAATGTTTTTGTAGCAATTGAAATG